CCAAGCACAAGATGCTCACCGTGACTGTTCTCTCCCTCTGTCCCACTACATGAAGCCAGGTAGTCTGACACCATGGCAGACTACCATTACAGCTGCCACTTTGAACGAAAACAATCAAAGAGCAATGTGCATGCTCTGTGTGCTCTTTCGTTCTTGTGTTTTATTTATTTGTTAATTAAAAATGTATATAATTAAATAAAATAATGATAGCTACTGTAGTGTATGCAGAGGATTACAAGAACAAAGAAGAGTGTTCTGTCAGGTCAGCATACGCTGTCAGATCGTCATACGCTTAGCACAAACTCACGGCTATATCTGTCAGACACGTCATTACCACATGATTTTATTTAATCAACAACATAGAATCATGACATAGATCATCATACACTTTGTTATTAATAGTTGTATGGCATCCTGACTTAGCGGTTAAGTAGGTTAATGAGTTTTACACATGCGTGTGTTGTAGTTGACTGCAGCTGCAGCCAGACCTGCTTTAAATACACTTTGAAACCATGACAACACATGTATATCTATATAGTTATCATTGAAAACAATTTAATGACTTATTTTCATCATAACTTGTTGCGTATGGTGAACTGACAACTCCTCTGACTGTCAGACTTAATGCGCATGCAGGCATGGTACTCACTGCATGTATGCTATTCTGACAGCGTATGGCTATGTGATAGAACACCGGCTATATCTGTCAGACACGTCATTACCATATGATTTTATTTAATCAGCAACATAGAATCATGACGTAGATCATCATACACTTGGTTATTAACAGTTGTATGGCATCCAGCTGCAGCCAGACCTGCTTTAAACACACTTTGAAACCACGACAACGCATGTATATCTATCTAGTTATCATGTATGTCATATTATAAACAATTTAATGACTTATTTTCGTCATAACTTGTTGCCTCTGCTGAACTGACAACTCCACTGACGGTCGGACTTCTTAATGCGCATGCGCTGTCATGTTACTGACTGCATGTATGCTATTTTGACAGCGTATGGCTATTTGATAGAACAACGGCTCTCAGAGAGTGACACTCCAGTCCTATCTAATAAGTAAAGAGTGGTGCAGAATTCAACTGTTTCTGAATGTCACATCACTATATTGCAGACTTTTGGACACAACGTTGTCCCATATTTGTATCAGTCAACACCTCCGCAC